CTCTCTCTCTCTCTTTTGCGCACGTGAAAGCCTCTTCTGCACATCGACACTAGATACGGCGCCATTCTTTACCTGATTTCCCCTCTTTGCCCCCACCCGTTGCCTCCCGGCGCCTGCACCACTCTCGCCGGTCCCTGCCGCAAAGCCACACACATACACACAGAGTTAGACACGACCATGCATACAAGTCGGAAGCTCAAAAAAAACAAAATAACACACACACACACACACAGACACAGACACAGACACAGAGAGAAAACAATAACAGTGGAGGTGTGGCGGAGGAGCATCCCTCGCCTAAATGTATTTCCGCACCCTGAAGTACTGGCGCAGGCGAAAGTACATCACCAGCGTGATGGTCAGCGCCACAGCGCCGAAGACGTACACGTATGTCCACGCCACCGCGTCCATGTCGTTGAACGAGTACCGCATCTCATCGTCCACCCGCATGAGGCTGATGTACGCGTAGCGGATGCGCATCATTGTGTCGAAGATGTACTGCATCTGCTGCATCGCCCCGCTCGCCTTGCCGACGCCGACGGCGATGGGGCTCGACGTGCTGTAGCTCTGCCGCTTCTGCCGCGTCAGCTCCGCGTCCTCGGCGTCCATGATCTCCAGCGTGATGTTCAGCGACGACGCCGACAGCGGCGCCTTCTCCGCGACGTTGAAGCAGACGGCGATGCTGCCAGCGGTGTCGATCGTGACGATCTCCTTCGCGTCCGGCCGCGCAACATCGTGCTCGACGACCGCCCGCCCACCCGGCGCGGTGACGGCGACTGACACGAACGGCGTGAGGCTGCGCGCCATCTTGTAGTGCAGCTCGTAGCGGCCCGGCTCCTGCAGCTGCTCCGTGAAACACTTGCGCCCGGGCCGCGCGGTGAAGCGAAAGCCGCGCGCCGGCATGCACGCGCACACCACGAGCACCACCACCAGCAGCAGCACTGCACGTCTGCTCCGCCGCGGCAACGACGCACCAGCAGTGTGCGTGGTCAGCTGTGGGCTATGGCCTGTTGCGGCTCGCATTTCCTCCCTTTT